TAGGGCAGGATGGGGGTTAAGGTTGTCATAGTTAGCGTTAGCATTTTTCCCATTGAAATGAATGAGCAGTCCCCATAAGGATATGTTTACCCTACATGTGTGTGTGTGTGTGTGTGTGTGTGTGTCTCCTGTGATGGACTGGCACCCTCTCCAGGGTGGACCTTCGCCATGTGCCCTGTGTTGTCTGCGACAGGCACGGATAGATGTTTTGTTAGCAACATGTAATTTAATAATGCACACTATGAGAATTCAATAACGGAATGCTGGATATTTGTGCTTTTCCTTATGGTTCTTAGGAAGATGTTGAAATTAAGACAAACATCCTTTTCATCTGTACCAGGACAGACTTCCTCTGGAAATTTTGTGTCATACATTCCTGGTGGCCTTTATTTCTTCTTGATGATTCAACCATTGGCAGCATTTTAAAGAAGGATCAAAGAAGATCCTTTTCATGTTTAAAGAAATATGACTTAATACATGACACTTTCAATACCACATTTAATCTCGAGAGATTTCCTTTACAGCCAGCAATTTTGATAAAATACCCACACTGCAGTTAAAGATATTATATTTAAAGGCCTCTTCTAATAACATTTCAGCACATGTCTTCAGGATGTCTATAGCTTAATATGAGGTTTTATTTTAGATCTCACCTCAAGTCTAAAATGTGCTTGACACCATAAAACCTACGGAAGGATACCCGGGTTTCTAGTCATATAAAAGGGTAGCTAACTGAAGAGAGAGACTATACTGGGCACAGATAGACAGGTGAACAAAACCCATTCCCAGTATGGAGAAACTCTCAGGGTGTTACACTGATCAAATAAATCTGCTTCAGTCAAGATCACTTTGAAAGCTGTTATAGGGTCGAACGCGACTAAGGGAGTGCGTTTAATCATCCGGACCCTGGCCGTATTGATTTTAGGCCTACTTACTATAACTATATAAATAGGCCATTTCGTCGCAACTGTATCTAAGGCCGGTCATGAACCCGAGGGGGGGAAATAAATAAAATAGAATAAAATAAATAAAACTTCACAGCCCAGGCTAAACTGAATTATGCCTTCCAGAAATAAATTAATAAAACAAACACTGCCTGGTTCCTTGACTGAGTAATTTTCACATTTCAGGAGCTTAAAAAAAATATAAAATCAATAATCATTTAGTCATAAGGGTAAATGAAGCGACATAACACCAGAGTATAGCCCTTAGCCATTGAAGTCGCTCTGTGCCATTTATCTCATCAAAAGGCTGTAGTAATGATCCCATACTTGGTGAAAAGCAAGCGCCCTGCATTATCCCCAAGTAAACAAGTTTGGAGAAAATATTAAAAATCGATAGCTGTTTCCTTCAATCAGGCGAGATGACGTCCATCATAAATCTGACATTGTAAAAAGTCTATTGTGAGCATGTACAACTGCAGGATTGCATAGTGCTTTTAGCTTCTCAATATATTCAGCTTCATTAAACAGTTTAATTACAAACTTGTCAGTAAGGAGAACAAATGACAGAAAGGCCAAAAGACTTTATATAGTAATACCAATAAATTCTTCTATATTTTGCACTGTATATTATGTGTATGAGTAATTTTACTTGAAATACAAATATATATATATATATATATATATATATATATATACATACATATACATATATTTTAATATACATATACGGATACATATTTATTTTTTTATTTTTATATATTTTCACACACACGCTTCATTAATTAAAATGTTTGTGTGTGTGTGTGTGTGTGTGTGTGTGTGTATATACACACACACACATTTTAATTTTATTATTTAAAAAATTATTAAATAAAACTAAAAAAAAAAAATCTGTTGTGATTTTCTTAACTTTAGATGTGTCACATTTGACCAGAATGTCTACTTGCCAAGTACAGAGACAATATCATGAAGGTCATAAATAAAAAATTAATTTTAATTTTAAAATACATTAAAGGTAAGTATTGAAAAGTCATAATTACACATAATAATGTTACGATGCCGTGGCAGCCTAAGAACACATTCCTTCATATGCTGCTGCTGATCAGTCTGTTGACCGAACCAATGACATTCTGGCGCAGGTTTAAATAGCCCGCACAACACTTACTGTAAATAAAGGCCCCTCGCCACTTCCGCAGTGAATTGTAACAGACAACACCGTGGAATACCCAAAAACACGTATATGAACTTGTACGTCCTAAAGAATCACACATGAAAAAAAAGAAATTAAAGAAACCCCATACAACGTAAAATGGCTCGTTTCGATAAGTATAGTAATCGCGTGTTTTACAACACAAGTATTAATTTCGACTGACTCTGTCATCAAAGTTGTCAGTTATTACGATTCAAGAAGTGCTTCTGAGTTGATTCAGTCCCAAGCAGCAAATCTTTGTCTTTGGGACGCCGTTTGATGGGACTGTGTGAACAACCCGGCTTCCGGGCCAAGCAGAGCGACTTGCCGTCCGCCCGCGGGACACCGCACTCTCCGCCGGACGGGAGCTCCGCGGCGTCGCGCTGCCCTTTTATTGCATTTTGAATCGTTTTCGCTACCATCATGACGGATTCTAGCAGAAATGGTTACATTTAACAAGCACAAGTCGATCAAAGTGATCCTATTATTATTATTATTAGTAGTAGTAGTAGTAGGAGGGGCAGCCTAGTAGCGGTGATGAAACAGTGCAAACCTATATGTGGGAAAAAAAGAAAATCTCACGTACATCTAAATGGAAGAGTCACTTGGGTGACTTACAGGAATTATACATATTTAGCTGTGTTTGTTTGGACTGGAATATCACACGGGCCGAAACTTAACCCGGGTGTGCGCTGACGGGCGGCTGACATTGAAGCTTTGTCCAGACAGTCGGTGCTGGGGGGCTGGTGGGGCTGGTGTTTCTCCGGTCGAGTTGGAGGATAGAGGAGACACTGCCCTCTGCTGTGCGCGTTGGCGGACCCGAGGCGCCCGGTCTGTCGCTGCTCACGCTCCGGCCGCACATTGTTTACCGAACCTTTAGACAAATATGAAATGCGCAGAGGATTCCTGCACATGCACCTGTCTTATGTTACTGTTAAATTAATTTTCAACATCCATTATCTGAAGGTGGCGGTGTGCGTCCCAAAACCCATAATTTACAATAATATTTATATAGCGATATTTATGGCTAGGCGCAGCCTGCCTATTCAAAATAGTTCCAAACGTGTATTCAAACTAGAAATAACAGTACCTGTAGATTACTCAAGTTCATTTGAAATGCAGAACGGACATTAAAAATGTGTGGCGGGTTATATTAGGTCCTCGTTATTTTTTAAGAGTAATACAAAAAAAGTTATCTGAAATTAAACAGCTGCTTTTATATACTCTAATGGTGCTTTAATAGCAGCCCGATTGACAAAACAGCAATGAATTACATTTTTTGAAAGTTATATACTGTTTAATTTAGAATGTATTAATCAGCATAACCATGCTAAATTAAAGTTTTGAGAAAATAGCGTTACAGTTGGAAGTAAGCAACACAATACACCAAGGCCTGGATCTACATTGTAATTCTATGAGTGGTAAATATTTTTTGTAAATGTGAAATAATGCATTTTAAATCGCATCAGATCGCATTTCACCATCGCAGTGTCCTGGTTTTAACGATATTAAGAAATTATCTATCTATCTATCTATCTATCTATCTATCTATCTATCTATCTATCTATCTATATATATATACACACACACACACACAAATTAATACCCTCATTAAAGAATATAATACTAATGTTTTTGTTGTTGTGTCGAAACGCAGCACTGTAGCCGCTGTCTCGATACGCAGTATTGGCAACGTGTCACATATGGCATTTATTGAAAATAATATACACACACAGTCATGTCATAAACTTGCATTACGCTACCTGCGCAATTAGTATTGTCCAGGAAAAATGCGCAGAGTATGTCCAGCCGTCCCAGAATAAATCTGGTCTATTTTTCTTTCAGTTTTTATAACGCTAAGCAGACAGACTGTTGTCCAGTCTGAACTTGAATTATTGTAGTCCATATATGTTTGGTAGTTGAGTGATGGCATGTGTTAGTGATAACACGTCGAATAAAACCGTACCTCTATAAATTCAAGACATTTAAACCGGACTCTGCACAAGGTGCAGAGGAAGATATAAAGTGTATTTATACTAAAATTCCCCTGCAAATGATTGTCCGTCTTTTAAGTGGTACTACATTTTAACAAACCATTAGCAGCTGTGTATCTGTAAGACAAAATACAGATTCGCGTACTCATATTATTACATCATTTACTAGTAACCTATAACTGACAAATGCTCCAAGTAAAGCTGTATTGTTGTTCAGCATACGACCTGACATGGCACCTAATAAAGATGTCGTGCTTTTTCTGACGATCTCAGTGTGATTATTTCACAGAGTACTTTGAGGATCCGTAGTTCCGAGTGCGCCAGGTCCATTGAACTTGCAGCCACTGAGGCTAAATCCCAAAGGCGCAAAATGTGCGCTACGTGCGAGGCGAACACCGCCAACAGGCCGCTGGGCGCACTGCTCTGCGCGGAACCGCCGTCGTGCTCGTTTATGGAAACTTTAATTCTGCCACTAAGACTACTCCAACAGCAATGAAAAAAATATATACATAAATAGATTTATTAATTTGTTTAAGTTACCCGTGCAGAATAAATTCTTTGACGCATTATTCCTGCAATTATATCCACAAACAAGAGGTACAACTCTGCATTACAGGAAGTACTTACATCGCTGTTATACGTTTCATATTTTTATACAATTATGGTAATCGCGAAATAAGACACAATATTTCAGAACAATATTAAGCAGAAATGGAGAGAGCGGAGAAGCGAGCGCTCCCGCGTATCCTGCCTACTTTTCATCAGTTTTGTTTCTGGGTGCCTCATTCACATGGCGATGGGCGGGGATGGGATATTCAGATGAGCTGGATTGACAGCTCCTGTTTTCCAATGCTCACAGAAACCCAAGCACTCCTTCCTTTAACTCCTCACTCCATGCTTCTGAGTACTAAAAAACATCGGGCAGGCGCTAGGGGATCCGGACGGTGCCTCTATGCAGGCGCTGTGCTGAGCTGCTGCGGCTGGCCTTTTTTTTTTTCCTTTTTTTTTTTTTTTTTTAAAGTTTACCTCGCTGAACTGATATCTTTTGAGTCGCGTTTCTTTATTTTTTAGGGAGCAAAGGCAGAGACACACACACGCACACACAGGCACGGCGATGTCGTATCCTCAGGGTTACCTCTACCAGCCCCCAGGCTCTTTGGCTCTGTACTCGTGCCCGGCTTATGGGGCTTCGGCACTGGCTGCTCCGAGGAGTGAGGAATTGGCGAGATCTTCGTCTGGATCAGCCTTCAGCCCTTATCCAGGATCGGCTGCTTTTACGGCTTCGGCTGGTGGCTTTTCAAATCCGCTGTCGTACCCCGCAGACCATTCCACGGGTTTCCCGTCCTATATGGTAAGAAACATTTCCCTGGTTATTTTGTCTTTAGCACTGTTCTTTATCTCAAAAACAAATGCAGCTAGTAAGTTTTTTCGTGTCCAAAATAGTTGCGATTATACTACCGATCTCAAATTGGCACCCCACGTAAACAGACAAGTAAGTCGATAAAAAAAACAATATCTGCTGACGTTTTCTTTAATGAAAGCAGCCGTCTGCCCTTGATAAACGATTAAGCAATTTGCCGTAGGTCACACGCAGCCTATAAAATTTTAAACATTCACAGCAATGCTCTTTAACTATCGGGTCAACTATGGGCTGGGATTTGTAACTTACACAGAAATGTGATTTTATTTACCAGTTCGGGTTAGTTGAAATGTGATTGACAGAGACTAACTGACCGTGCACATTTGCAGTGTGTGAGACTAGATGTTATAACCATATATTACCCGACATTTGTTTAGGCCTAAATAATGATAATTGGGTATATTATTAAGATTAAATATACACAACATATATACACGCACAGACAGGAAAAACATTAGAACCGACGTACTAGTATTGTTAGGTTACTGGCCTAAGAGCTTCTGAACAATTACTTGAAACCACTGGATCAATAATACTGTAAAGACGTTAACATATTCTAATTTTGGGGGGGTTATCTGAATGGGACTGCGTCACATGTGAAGTTAAACAAGCACAATTTAAACGTTAAAAAGGTGAATTAAAATGCTAATGATGTGACACTTAAAGCAGTTGACAAAGGTGCACATCCACTGATTTGCAAATTGGATTTGTAATGCTTTAGTGAAGCGATATGCTAAATGACGTCTCTTTTTCTGACAACAGAAAGGCACGGGACAACAAATATTTACGTAGTAACTGCTGGAATCAGTAGTTTTTCCACATTTATTACAAATACATGGGTCTATTTTAACGCTCACTGCAATGATATATGTGTTGTATAATATGCATAAAATAATGCTGCCGTGTGTATTCCCATATATAATACATTATGTAGTTCAAAATATTTTCTAAAAAATAAACAAGACATTAGGAGACTTATTGCTAATTGCGTGCTACGTTTATTTTGCAGGGTTCTCCGTACGACCCACACACAACTGGCATGGCAGGGGCAATTAGTTACCATCCATATGGAAGTCCTGGATACCCGTACCAGCTTAACGACCCGGCTTACCGGAAAAACGCGACGAGAGACGCGACCGCCACCCTCAAAGCCTGGCTGCAGGAGCACAGGAAAAACCCTTACCCCACCAAAGGGGAGAAGATCATGCTGGCTATAATCACTAAGATGACCCTAACTCAAGTCTCCACCTGGTTCGCCAATGCCAGGAGAAGACTGAAGAAGGAGAACAAGATGACATGGGCGCCTCGGAATAAAAGCGAAGACGAGGATGAGGACGAGGGGGATGGTGAACGGAAGGAGGATCGGGCGGACAAACAATTCGACAACAGCGAAACTTCGGCTGAGGATGAAGGTAAATAAGGGCCGCGTCACAGCGATTATCTCGGTAGCACCAGATTAAATCGATTAACGTTTATTTATCGATCAATTTATGTGCAAGACCCGAGGCTCAGACAAAGAACCCTAATTAATATTATAATACAGTTTGGTTGTAAAGTGGGCGGATTTTTGCGCCTGCGTTTTGAAGTGTAGTTATGCATCCTTATCTTATCGTATATGTATTTATTACTGATTTATTACATATGTACAGTTTATGTTTTAAAGAACTTATTCTTTCTTTAAGGTATTAGTTTGCACGTTGATACTCTCACAGACCATTCTTGCTCTGCGGAATCCGACGGGGAAAAGGTGGCTTGCAGGACTGGGCAGACGGTTTGTGAGCCTGGAGCAGATACTAAGGACAAATGCGAGGATGACGATCAAGATACAGAGAACGACGGGGCCCCGCGAGGCGTCTCACCCCAGCCGGTGACCTCGTCGCCGCTGACGGGGACGGAGGCCCCGCTTTTAAACCACAGCCACGAGGACTCGACCAGAACCAGTAGCAAAGCAAGCCTCGAAAGCAGAGTCCCTTCAGGTCAACAGAATCAACCCATCAAACCCAAACTGTGGTCTTTAGCAGAGATTGCCACTTCGGACCAGAAGCAGCACCTGGGACAAAACTGCCCTTCAGCCCTTCTGTCAACGACATCGGCAGCGTCCCCGGCCAGCACCGTTTATCCTGCCTCGTCCATGTTGGCAAGGCCTATTTATTACACGTCTCCGTTTTACACTAATTATACAAACTATGGCAACTTCAGCCCTTTGCAAAGCCAAGGAATCCTGCGGTACAATTCAGCCGCCGTGACTGCTAACGAGGGGCTCGCCCAGACTGTACTCAGCACGGGCCCCCTGCACAAACAGGCCAATGAATCCCCGCTAAAAAGTAACGCAAACCAGCTCGAGCACCACTTCAGACCCTCTAACTTAGAACCCAAGAAAGGTAGGTAATAAAGTATATCTGCTATTATAAATATAAATTACATCAGTGTAATTTTTATATTTATATATAGTCCTACTGTATATTACAATGTTTACGCAAAGCCCTTATTGATTTTTTTTACAAGTAAACAATGTAAAAATTAATACGTACGATTATATGTACATTGTAAGGAATGGAAAAGTGCGTGATACGAAATTGTATTTTAATTTCACAGAATATAATACGATTTAACGAATTTTCAGGACCGGAAACGTTTGGGCAACGCCTGTGGTTTATTTAATCCTTGTTGTTGTAATCTTTATAAATTGTTTTGCAACCTTGTATATACAGATAATAACAAAATTAAATATTGACAACTAATAATATGCAAGACCACAATTTGGGAGTTAGCGGGATAGATAAATGGTTTAACTCAACTGGGGGTTGTATTTTTGACAGACGCCATTGACGCGCGCGCAGTAGAAGCCCAACCATACCTCTCAAGTTAAAAAAGATTGCGCAAGTAAGTTACTTGTTAGAATTTGGTTTTAATAATAAATAATAAAATATAGTTTTTATTTTTTGGTGTTGCTTTGTTGTAGTCTGTCTGTGGAGCAGATGTATGTGTATTTTGCATCAATTTTATCTTCATTTAGTAATGTAGAGGCCATTTCAATTAGGCGAACTATTGCCTCGATCTTGATGTTCTAAGTGTCCGTGAAATTATTTGTTCAATCCAATGAATTATTGCTCACGATTTGATTTATTTTCTGTTTTTTTTCTTTTCTTTTCTTTTTAAATGTTTGTGCTGTATAAAAGAAATTGTGGCAAAATGACTGTAGTGTAAAACGTATAATTTACTGTTTTCTTGTTCGAGTCTGTGAAATTTCGGTTGATTTTGGGTTTTGTTTCCTTGGTTCACAGGTAGGTGTCACAATTGCTTTGAAAAAAAGCGAGCAAGCCATCATTTCTTCATCGTTTTAAACGAAACTATTATTTATACTGGATTCAGCCCTGAGCTGTAGGCGGTGACTACAGCGTGTTATAGATTGATAGTGAATAGACAAAAATACTTAAATAAGAATGAAATTTAAAAATCATCGTTTAATTTCACTTCAATTTTAAAGGAATGTGCATTTGTTGGTGAAGTAGATTTCCCAATGTATGTGAATTTGGAAAAAAGTTATTTCTCAGGATTCTATATTGCTTCATTGCCACGGTATATATTGTATACTATAGGTGTGAAAATAGTTAGCATTAAGTAACATTTTGTAAAGATGTATCATGCAGAAGAAATGAGACTGATTAACTTGGACTTAAAGTGGAATACATTTGATATTTATTTTTGTAACGATGGCAAAAGCCCATAATTTATGCAAGTTGTATTGCAATGGAATCTGAATATTGTTTTGTAAATAAATAATGACTGGATTTTTATTTGAAATGTTATAGAACGTTACACAATCTTTGTTGGTTGTTAACAGAAATACTTTTACTAATTTATATCGGTGATTGTAAATAAAACAGGCTGGTATATACTGGCAAAATTGTGCTCTTCATTACTTAAAGAGTCAAAATAAAATTAACCTGTAGTAGTTTATAAGAATTTTTCCAAATCAGTTTAATTTGCAGGCGAAATACCAACCACCATGTGCGTCCTTAAGAATATTTCACCGACGTGACTGTAACGCGTGAAAATCGATATTCGGAAAATGTCTTATCAACTCCAAGAACGAGATCGGAACGAAAAGTAGGACAATCAAGTGGGATTTAAATTTTATCAATAAATTTTTTAACGTAGCTTGATTTTTGTTGTGTTTTGAGCTTATGTTGCAGACCTTGCGGTAAAGTGTATTAGGAGACGTCAGACGACGCACCTCGGGTCTCATAAAGGAACTGTGGCGATACTTCACATTTCCATGTCATAGCCGCTTTGCTTTTGATTAATTCATCTGCTGCGAGATCATTATTCGATCCCGGTGGAGTTATACGCCATTACTTTAGAGCCGAATAAACACTCTGCTTTAATTTTGAGTCATGCACTTTTTTTTAAACCAAATGTAACATAAATACGGAAATCTAATGATGTATTTTTAAGCTTTGAGTATTTATCGACCCTTCTGGATTGATAACCAAATATCAGTGTAGGATTAACAATGTTGTTGACGCTTTTTTTTTTAGAATCGTAACTAACTTATTGTTCTCGTTGGTATTTTAAACAAGCGCCAAACGTTTTCTAAAAATGCGAAACTCAAACACCAATTAAAGTGTGGCAATATATTTTAAATATTTCTACGGAATAATTAAAATTATACTCATGCTACTCTTATAATGTATGCAGATATAACCGCGTTTTTGAGTTGTAAAACTGCTCAATTTTCTGTGCTTTAAGGCACAGCCTAAATGCATGCGAACTTTTTGCTGCTACAGATGACATTGATTATAAATGGGACATAAGTGTTTTACTAGAATAACATTTCTAGAATTTAGAAGAGAATGGGCTTATATTGAATTCAGTTTGTTTAAGTAATGTGCTAAATTAGTACTAAGTTGTCCTTGGGGCATTCGGCGCCCTTAAACTTCTCTTCAAAGGTCTAACATCTTTGTATTTGACCATTTCGCGAGAAAAGACAAACAGTCCCATCATGGTTCCGAAAGGTTTCATTAGAGCTGATTTATTGCAATTTAAGCTTTAATCCCAGGTGGGGTCCCGGGGGACCTACTCCTGTTGTCAAACACAACCAGAGGCGGTTTTTACTTTAGGTTACCCACCGATTGTGCCTTTTTCTCTGCTTTCTTCAAATGTCAACATTTGTTCTCAATAAAAAGTGTTATTGTTTCTGTAAAACAGCTCACCCGCTGCCTTTGAAAACATGAAAAGAACTTCACCCACCTTTTTTTGATTGGAAGCAGAGGCCGGTGAAACTCAAGACCCGCGTATGACAAACAAAACCTGATCGCTAAAGGTGTGGATCACGGAATTCATGGAGGGTGAATATGTCATTATAGCTAGATTGCTGCCGCATGCAGTGTGGCTCTGGACAAGTACACTAATACTGCTTTTCTCACGCGATATGCCCACCGACCGCAAGTGGTCAATGCTACGTTTATCACGGCCATCTCGGATATAGCACTAGTCTTATTATTGAATTCGATTTTTTTGATCATATTCACGCCATGGATTATATATCATTAAATGATGAATTAATGCAAGAACCGTTCAATTAAAGTCTTCATTCTTAATTTACTCAACATTTTAAACCCGCTATAAACTTAGCGTATATGGCATGCTGATGTTCTATAGGTAACCTTAGAAAAGTTTTAATATACCAATATAACATAGATAGAGATTCATAAGAAACAATAAAACAGTAACTTTTGTTCAGGTATCGCGTGGTTCAGAGTTTATGCATTATTATTATTATTATTATTATTATTATTATTATTATTATTATTATTATTAT